GTTGGCCCTCTATATATGTAAGTGAGATAGGGACCTTAGATTGTAAGTTCCTTGAGGGTAGGGACTGATGTGAAACTATGTAAAGTGCTGTGTAAATTGTTGGCGCTATATAAATACCTATAATAATAATAATAACAGGAAGAGCTCAAACCTTGTCTCAAAGTATCATCCTAACTGTCCCCTCCACTCTTCCAAAGAGCTCTGGCTTTCCAGCTCCATCATCAACTCCTTCCATGCTTCTCTAGAGTCTCTCCCATCCTCTGGAACTCCTTATACCATCCTGTCTGTCTGTCTCCTACTTCAGGGAAGCCTATTCTGCCTCAAACAAACCACTGAACTATCACTTTCTCAAACAATTAATCCCCACACAGCTATACCCTCCATGTATCACTGCCCCCTCCCTTATGGATTGTAAGCCCTCACGGGCAGGGCCCTCCTTACCATCTTGTATTGTAATGTCTTCCTTATATTGTAAAGTACTGCACAAACTGTTGGCGCTATATAAATCCTGTATAATAATAATAATTAAAAACTTTTTAGGATTTAAAAGAAAGCAGAACTTTAGCAGTTTATCAAAACTGCTAAATACACAGCTGAAATACATAGGGTCATGTGAAAAAGTAAGTACGCCCCATGGAAATCTTGAAAACTGCAGTGTCTACAGATATACTTGAAGACATAACACATAGTCTTGACATGGTGTATTCATCTTCATGATCTTAATTAATGATTAATAAATGCAGACTTGTCATGTTCAAAAAAACAAGTACAGCCCTACATTTACCACCACTTTAAATTCATGAAATGAGTATCAGGTGTTCCAAATTATGTGCAATGATTAGAACCTCCTTAGGGAGTATGCAGGTGGAACCTGTCTTATTTAAACCTCAGATATCTTGGTTTTGGTCTTCTCTATGCTATTTATGTTTGTCATCATGTCAAGATCAAAAGAGTTCTCTAAGGCTCTCAAAAATAAAGTTGTAAATGCCTATGAGTGGTAAGGGATTTAAAAAGATCACCAAATACAGTGGTACCTTGGTTCACGAACACTTCTATTCGCGAACAGATTGGTTCGTGAACAGAAAGTTCTGCAAAATTTTGCTTCCGTTCGCGAACTCCGCATCGGGTGACGAACTTAGCCGCAGCCATCTTCCCTGCTCTGACACATGGCCCTGGCTTCCTCTAGTCGAGATCGCGGTCTGATCACAGATTGATTCGGCTCATGACCAATTCGGTTTGCGACCAGAATCGTGGAACGAATTAAGTTCCTGAACCTAGGTATCCCTGTATTTGAAATCGATAATTTTACTGTAAGAAAAATAATGTACATGTGGCGTAGATTTCAAATGACTGCTAATTTGTTCACGTCTGGCCAACCCAACAAGTTCAACTCAAGAGCTGACTTTTGGATGCTTATAAAAAGTCCCCAGGAACACCAAAAATTTCATCATTGAGTGTTCAGGTGGCTCTTGCTACAGTTGGGGTCAAAGTGCATACAACTATAATCAGAAAGAGATTGCACCTATTTACCCCGCATGAGAGGTGTGCTAAGAATAAGCATTTGCTGTCCAAAAAAGAACATTTGAGCAATTTGACATTGATCATATAGGCAAAGATGAGACTTTCAGAAACAATGTGCTGAAGACTGATCAATCAAAGAGAGTTGTTCAGTGAAAGTAACAGTAGGCATGTTTGCCACAAACCAAAGACAGCATTTTAGAAGAACCTCATACCAAATGTGAAGCATGTTGGTGGAACTGTTATGGTTTAAGGCTGCTTTGCTACTCTAGAATATCGGCAGCTTGTAGTCATTGATTCAGCTATACATTCTGCAAACAGTACTTGATGAGAATGTGAGGTCATTAGTCCAAAGATTAAAATGGAAATAGATCCTTCAAAAATGATCCGAAACACACCAGCAAAACCACCAAGGAATGGCTCAAAAAAGAAGACATGGCTGGCATAGTCATGAGCCCTGATTTGATTACCATTGAAATTTTGTAGGGAGATTTTGAACCAGGAAGTTCAAGGGAAGAAATCCACAATCATCTTTCAACTGAAGGAATTTTGCAAGTGGTCATGTCGGAGACTGGTCGGCAAAATACTGAGATGAAGACATTTCTGATAAAGAGGACAATACCAGCTTCTGATCCCAAGGGTTTGCCTACTTTTTCCACAATATACCATTACATCGATTGATATTTTTGTGGAATAAATGCATGTAAAGGCACATTGTTCTTATGTTTTCATTCAAGTATGACCTTTACCTGTAGGCACTGTTTGAACAAACATCTAATGTTTGCCTGTTCAAATGTATTCAAAAAGTCAACAATTTCCAATGGATGTACTTAAAGTGACACTAAACTCAGGAGTCAAATCTTAAAAATGCATTCATGTAACTTTACTGTTAACAACACCTAATGAGGACCTAATTTGTAGATCCTCAAATCATCTCCAAAACCGAATTGGTGCTGACACTGTCCTTCCTTTTGGAGGGTAACGACTTTTGTTCCCCATGGTCCCTGTGTGCGTGTTGGAAAGTAGTCACCACTCCAAGCTCTTTCCCGTGATGGACTTTAATTTCAATACAAATCAGTAAACTAAATGTGAGATTGTAGTCCATCACAGGAGCAAGCTTAGACTTCAGTACAGCGCTGCATGACGGAATAAATGTCAGTCAAAGTACCGCAGCGCTGAATACTGAAAAATGGCCTGGATGGGAAGGGGGTTTAACACCGCGGATGTCAACTGGTTAAAGGAAAATTATGGGGTGAGTAAAATACACTCATTCCCATAATGCAAGCCGACCTATGACACTGATTGATCGGGAAGTCAGCGAACACATGCCACCAATTGCTGAGTTCCCGATCCTCTCCCTCCAGAGAGCGTTGACAGTCAGCCACCGCTCCCCGCAGGGATTGCCCCCTCCCCTCTCTGTTTCTCCAGGGGGGCAGGCATAGCTGTCTCTGTCTCTAGAGAGGCAGGGCCAGCTGTCAATCAGCCAGCGGGGTGGATCTCGTCAGTATTATCGGGATCCATCCCAGCCGCTGCGTGGCTCTGCGCTCTCCGCTCTGAGTTTTGTGTCACCGGAGGACATTAGAATATGTCCTCCTGTGACCCTAAAGAGAACTATGGCCAAAAAAGGTTGGGCCACAGTTCTCTTTTAATAGTTAAGGTACTTGAATGCATTTTTAAGATTTAACTCCTGAGTTTAGTGTCACTTTAATGTCTACATGACATGGTGTATCCTACCTAAAGATTTCTAATTCCCTCCAGCCAGTCTTATGATTTCTAGACCTCTATCACAATGCACAACCAGGAAGGTGACACACATCATTTAGGGTTCGGCAATGCAGTTTCCTGTGTCATCTCGCTGCCTCCTGCTTGCTTATTGGACAAGGAATCCGCATTAGCAGGGAGGTGATTCAGGAAGCAGTAAAGCAGAACCAGGCAGTAGGATAGCGCAACTATGCAGTATAGCAGGAGTGTATAAATCACAGGACCGACAGAACAGCAGGTAAAACAAACATATGTATTCTTCTCTATATATAGCTGTTTCCCTGCAGTTCCGCTTCAAACACTTTAGTAACCTGCCTTTCGTTTTAAATTTTTTCCAGTCTGATCCTTTTTTTTTTTCCTGCAGGTCTTATTGTATCCTTTGTAACTTTGGAACGATAAAAGTGTTTCTTCACAATTTTTATTTCTTAAGTGCTTTTTTTTTTCTTTCCTTTTTACTGCTTTTGTAACAGTAGAAGTGGGTTTTATTTTTAGGATTTTATTCTTATTACACATAAGATAAATGATGTAATATATTTGCATAAAGTTGATTAGAAACACTCCCGTTTATGTCCTGTGTCTATTTTTTTCCACCTAGTCTGTACATTAAAAGGCCCCCTCGGCACGGAGTAGTTGGCGCCTTTACAATTAAGTGTTTTTATTTTTACAGGATATACTTATTTTTTTATAGTTTAGATAAAATGTAATCATATGACGATCGCTCTTATTCCCTAATATGAATATCTGTAATTAGCTCGGTATTATTTGAGAGTGACAAGTCCAATAGAGCGTCACTTCCAGTTATAGCTTTTATGAGCTGGCTCCTAATATTGTCCTCTAATAAATATATAGTTTAACCCTATTTCAGAACCTTTACACTAATTAAGGGTCATTAACGTGTATGTAAACCCTAACAGTAAATGTTATCTATTTGCTCCCTCTTGGTCGGTTAACCCTTTCCTACCTGCAATCCTGCCAGAAATCTTGACAGCTGTAAACTTCCTGTGCTCTCAGTCTACACCAGACCTGGGCATTTTATGGCCTGCGGGCCATATCCGGCCTTTGGTCAGTGCCTGTCTCACCTGCCGACCTGCCCTCCATTATGGCTGGCTGACAGTGGATGCACCGATCTTGGAGTCCGGTGCATCCACTGGAAGCCTTAGCCCAGCACAGGTCAGGAATCAGTCCATGTTCAGACTGCATTTATCTTGCATCCTTTGTTCCTAGGACCTCTGGAGTCCTAGCAATTAATGAAGTCAGGGGTCTTCCTCTGCAGTCAGTGGTTGCTAGGACCGCTGAGCTGTCCTAGCAACCAATGATGTTAGGGGTCCTCCTCTGTCTCCTCTCCTGCAGCTCCCGCCTGTGGACTTTAAATAAAAGAACTTAGAACGGTATGTGCGTGGTGCAAGAAGAGGTTGGGGTTTGGCATGTGCAGTAACTGTACCGCAACACAGTCAATCACATTGTGGCCAGGAGGTACATTTGGGGTGCTGTTCAAATGATTGACAACGCAGCACATCTGCCACACTGTAATGCACGGTCGGTGCGTTGCACAGTGCTGTGTGTTAATCGGTTTGGCCCTCCACAGCTGTCTCAGCTTCCTATGGGGCAACAAGTCAAAATCAGAATCAATTTCTTATGGGAAAGAAAAATGATCATTGCTTGTGTACTATTAAATAAGTTACAGTAGTATCCATTTATAATGAGGCTTTTCTTTTACAGCATTGTTTACAGAAATACCACATGATGTTAGTGCACACCCTGGAGAAGATGTAGAGATGGCGTGCTCCTTCCGCGGCAGCGGTGACATCCCCTACTCCCTGGAGATCCAGTGGTGGTATATCCGGTCCCACAAGGACTGGACAAACAAAGATACCTGGGCAGACAACCAGGTAAGAGATGTGTGGGTGTTGCAAAAATAATAAATATGTTAGAGCAGCCTTTCTCAACCAAGATTCCTCTTGAGGTTGCTAGGGCTTCCTCGGGTGGTGAGCAACAACAACATCCCATCTAAAATTTCCACCTCCCCACAGATGCATACTTACACGCGGGGGGGGGCCCCGCGTCTCTTTACATTCAGCGCCGAAGGTCTCTCACTGCTGGACACGCCGATACAGTTGATTCCCATAAACTTCTATGGGGCTTATCTAGCTTTTTTTTAGCAAGGGTGTTCCAAGACCTGAATATTATTTCAAGGGTCCCTCAGGGGTAAAAAGGTTGAGAAAGTCTACATTAGAGGAACAAATTAAATTTTTTGAATGTGTAACCTGTTAGTGTAGTGTTTTTAGTACATGTTTTGTTATTTTTTAATATTGTAGGTATAAAAGGTTAGTGTGTAGAGTCACACACTGCCTGTCCAAAAAAAAGGCACCACCTGCATTTAGCTAAGCAAATAGGTACGAGCCTTCCACTGGATAATAGGTCTAAGTTCAGCAACGTTATGTCCCCAAAAATGAGGTCAGCTGCCTACCTGAATATACGGAATGACCAGGTTTTTCCACAAATGGATTGTTTTCTTCCCTGATGGTACGGCCATATTCCAAGATAACAATGCCAGGATACACCGTGCTCAAATTGTGAAAGAGTGGTTCAGGGAGCATGAGACATAATTTTCACACATGGATTGGCCACCAGAGTCCAGACCTTAACCGCATTGAGAATTTTTGGGATGTGCTGGAGAAAACTTTACACAGTGGTCGGACTTAATGCAACTCAGTATGGAAATAAATGTTGTAACATTGCATAAGCTTATCGAAACGATGCCACGGCGAATGTGTGCCATAATCAAAGCTAAAATCAGTCCAACAAAACATTAGAGTGTGTGGCTTGGTCGTTTTGGACAGGGAGTGTATATAATCCACGTGGAATTTAATGTAGTTATGCGACTAAAAATGTGTTTCTGATGGTCTGCTGTTGGTTTTAATCATTATTAGACATCCGTGCTGTGTGTAGCGTTTGATTAAACAAAGATGTTCTTCGCTAAGCACTATCTGCTTATAAAGGGTGTTTCCTTCATCACATTAATATGAACCTTATCTAGGGAGCACAAAGAAGAGATCCACCACCCACTCTCTGGTCCTTTCATACATACAATTTGAATTAACCCTGCTGTGTGCACTACTGAAAAGGGAAGAGATGGTTTTCTAGTAAGGCAGAGAATTAACCTACTTTTACGCGGGCAAGAGAAAGACAACATTCTAACCCCCCCCCCCCTACACACACACACTGTTATAGTTGACAGACTATTGCTCACATTTTTATTATTTCCATATGATTCCTTCCATGTTGAGCAATAGTAGAGTATTGTAATGCTTTAATCATCAATTATTGCAGAAAGGTTGGCTTTATTGGCTATATGGGAATTTTCCAATGGGGACACTAGTTCTGGTAACCCTGCTGACCAACAGGTATTTCCTGCACTTTGGAGGGATTTTCACTCACTCCCGGTTGTGGCTATTGGACAGGAAGTAAGTTGAAATCTCCCTAATGGGACACAGAAGGCAAAAAAAGCTGACGGGGATTGTAACGCTCCCATACTCTATCCAAAACTAAAAAAAATGTTGGCTTCAGTTTTACTTTAGGTTAGAGACTAAAGAGTATCACTCCAAACTTTCTTGCATATTGAGCAAACATTAAAGAGGTCCTATGGGTGGTACTACGGCCCCTCTTGTATTACAATCTGTACATGCTTCCTGAAATCTACAAACAGCACATCAAGCATATTACATATATCTTTCTAAAATGATTTGGACATGCCTGATTTGAATTAGAATGGGGCAGCTGCAGTTCACATACATATGTAAGAGTCTGTTCACCCAAAAATATATATTTCAGTTTTTTAAATGCTGGAGAGTTAGAACACCTGATGGTTTCTTATACATCACAGAGACTCCCGAAGTGGGATCTCTATGATTTGTTTCCCAGGTTTGCACATCGGCAGCAACCATTACATGGAGGTCACACTCACCCTGCTGGATGCTAAATTGTTTAGTATTATGAAGAATGCAACAGGAGGAGTAGGGACATCACAGGGTGGGTGAGAACACCCAAAATTCTAAGTAAGGCAGAAATAGAACCATGAACCAGAGTGGGGAAATTTGGATGTAGTAGCGTGAAAGTGATATAAGAACGCAACAGGTGACCACCGAATTCGTTTTAAAATGGAAATATATTTCATGGGTGTGGATTGATGCTTTAAGATAATTAATTCTGGATCTAATCTGAATATAATGTACACCGATCAGCCACAATATTCTGACCACTGACAAGTGAAGTGAATAACAATGATTATTTCGTTAGAATGGCACCTTGAATATATTTGGTAACAAGTGAACATTTTGTCCCTGAGGTTAATGTGTTGGGTGCAGAAAAAATGGGCAAGTGTAAGGATTTGAGCGACTTTGACAAAGGCCAAATTGTAATGGCTAGACAACTGGGTCAGAGCAACTCCAAAACTGCCGCTCTTGTGGGATGTTCCTGGTCTGTAGTGGTCAGGACCTTCCAAAAGGAAGGAAAGCTGGTGAACCGGTGAAAGGGTCATGGGCGGCAGAGGCTCATGTACGTGGTGAGTAAAGGAGACCCCACCTTACAGGACTTGAAGGATCCGCTACTGACGGCTTGGTGCCAGATACCACAGCATACCTTCAGAGGTCTAGCAGAGTCCATGTCTTAATGGGTCAGGGCTATTTTGGCGGGACAAGGGGGACATACTCAATATTAAGCGGGTGGTCATAATGTTATGGCTGATCAGTCTATAGTCTTTTCACACTTTACATATTAACGTATAATGGGGGTGGAGGGGAGCTTTTAAAAATGATTTGGCTTATTTAAATTATTTTATTAAACTTTCATTTTTAAAACCTTTTTATTACATTTTTTTTTGTTAACTTTATTGCTTTCACAAGAGGGCTTTTATGGAGGTGACAGGTTCTCTTTGAGGAAATATCAGGGAACTTTTAGATCTTTAATGTCACCTCTGCACTCTCTTGAAGCCAGTCAAGCACAGACTGCACAGCCAGGGAGCACAGAGATTGAGAGCTCTGAATCTGGAAATATTTAGAACTGAGCACCTCAGGGTTCATTCTTTACAGAGAAGATCAACCAACAAATATTCACTGATCTCCCACAGCTCTCCATCTTCACACCCACTATGAAGGTCCTGGGTCAGGAGGGACAGGGGAATTTACATGTGCATACCTGCTTACAGCAGCTGGGTCTCCCGGACGTAGGGTTGCCACCTGTCCGGGATTCACCCGGACAGTCTGGATTTAGAATGCTGTGCTCGGGTTTCATGGCAGCAGAAACCCTGACACCCGATGTCAGGCAGACGGGAGCAGCCAAAATTAAGAACATAGTCTTGAATGTGATATTTACATATGAATGGGTGTTGCTATTTACATATAAATAAGCCACGACTCATTCTCCCCAAAACATTTCCGTGCGTCGCTAGAGTGCTCGGGTTTCGCTGAAAGAAAAGGTGGCAACCCTACCCGAACGCTGCACATACAAGCCTTTTTAACACTGTATGTCTGTATTTGTGACCATGTGCATGAGCCCTAAATGTAATGTTACTTGTCATTTCTCAGACTGTGCTCGCATCAGACTTAAAGTGCAAGTAAGTCCTTGTTACTATGTGATGCAAAAGTCACTTAAAGTGACACTTCCTTCACCTTCTCTAAGCCAAATCCTCCTTAATTTGTGTCTCACTCATTCCCCCTCCCAGACACTGCAGCTCACAGTAGGAGGGTTTCAGAAACAAAAGCAGTGGTGTTGATCCGGAAAGCAGTGGACAGGAGTTGACTGACAAGCTGCAGACTTGTGAATCAACAGTGACAATGCTGATAGCCATGCCCCCTGCAACATGTTCGCATCCCACTATAGTGTAAGCACACACAGCCTACATGACAGTGACAACTGTGCTCTAAATTTAGGAGCAGTGCAGTATTATTGCCACAACACTGCTCGTTTCTGCACCCCCTGCACTCTTATTTCACTTCTGCTCACTTTTGCACTCCATGCACCTCCCTTCCTCCATTGCTCATTCTGCAGCCCCTGCACCCCTATTCCACCACTGCTCGCCTTTGCACTCTTGCAGATTGCAAGGGTTATGGTTGAGACAGCTTGAGACATCATTTGAGAACTAGTACAGTTAGCTTGAAAGATTTTTGCACACTAATGACCATGATGATAATAATGACATCACTCACACCAAGGTACAAAGGTTTCGATCATTAATCTTTGATAAACAGAGGACCCCCCTCTTTTATGGAAAATGTCAAAATTCTGTATTGCAGGAATCTTCTTTTGTTTTTCAGTATTAATGTTTAATGAGTAAGTTATTCATAAATATTTATTTTGTATTCTTCTTACAGCTCAGATTCACCACCACCTCCTCCTCCTGTCTCTTCCTATCTCTCTTTGTATCCATGTGCTTGTACAAGCAGCAGTAATAGAAACACAGTGCTGGGGATTTTAATGAGGGGTGCTGTTTGTACTGAAGCCAGACACAATTCATTAACACAAACTGCAATTAATCTAAGGAGGATGCAGGGAGCAGAGAGACATGATATTAAAGAAAAACCATTGTCTTTTTCATGTTTTTTTTTTTCTTTAGAATCGGCTTAATGGAAGTAATCCTGCCATTGAGTTGAAGAACTGTGTTTCTATGTATAGCTTGTAATTAGACTCTGTTTGGTAGTGTTGTACAATGGTTGTGCCTTGCAGTTCCAGTCTTTAATGATCTAAGTCACGTATGAACCATTATTCCTCTAGCCTGTGGGGAGCAATGACCGATCATGTTTTTTGAAAGCTTGAAGTGGTGGCAAAGAAGCCTTACCACCTACAACACATTAAAATAAGGGAGCAGGGCTAAGTGGGAAGTGGGAAGGCATTATTATTATTATAATATAGGATTCATATAGCGCTAACAGTTTGAGCAGCACTTTACAATAAAAGGAAGACATTACAATTACAATACAATTCAAGACAAGATGGTAAGGAGGGCCCTGCCCGTGAGAGCTTACAATCTAAAATATAGCATGAATAGGACATTTGTGCATGGGTGTCATGGAGTTTAGCAGACCTTATGACCCGACAGACAGGATTAGTGTATCCGGGAACAAAGCAATGCAAATCTTCAGACAGATAGGCAGAGCAACAGTAGACAGCCAGATGGGGTACCAAATCAATAGACAGAAGCATAGTTGGACAAGCAAGAGGGTGAGGCAGACAGCATACAAGCATAATTAGACAGGCTAGGGGACGATGCTGGCGGCAGACAGAAGAGTAATCTAAAGTACAGGCTGAGGTCAGAATCCAAGAAGCAAGGTAGTCAGGCTGACACAGACGTACTGGAGTTGATTGAGTGGATGGTGTAAGTTCAGGATTTCCTATAAAGGTAGTAAATGAGGTTCAGGTGTCAGCTGTAGCATGGCCTTGCTGCAGTGCACATTTGTGACCACCAGATGGCAAAGGCTCAAGACATGACAAAACACTGGGAGCATGTGCTCCACTATGGGGCCAGGGGCTCTGGAGAGAACCCTTCCACGATTGAAAGAATATAAAACACTTCATTGACATCTCTGTGTCTGTGGCAGTCTGGTGTATTAAAGGTCTGGGTCAGGAGCTTTGGTGGAGGATATCTAATAGAACAATAAAAATTTATTCTAGCAACTATGTAGATATAAGTTACATAAAAGAATTAACGTATAGCAAACTTTACAATAATTACTCATAAGATGCACTCACTGAAAATATACTGTATTGTAGATTCCCTTCAAAGCAAACCTGTCATTTCTTTAAATGTCTTTAAATCCAGAAGCTGTGCCTTACAGTAATCCCTTTTTGCTTATAGATATCAAGTTAAATTACAGCTGCCCATCATTGAGCCCCCTTCCTCTGAGCCTAGGTTAACATGGACCTGCCAATTGGGGGGGTCTTTACATAGCCTGGGCTCAGATTACTACTGCACTAAAAGGCACTCACATGTCATTACAAGCAAGCCATTCAGTGCAAGAGGAAGGATTCCCCATTGCCGCTGCTGCCGGACAGATTTAAGGACTCATGACATTACCAGACCCTTGGAAAAGGAAGGGGTGAGCGGGTGGAGGTGCTGCGGGGTAGGGGAAAGTGACTCCTAAAAGATGCCTATTGATGAAAAATCACATGACCACTGAGTTCCTTCTCTATCATCCTCTAGCTGCTGAAAATTGGTAGTTGATAATGGGAATAACACGTGGTATCTTTGATCACATTATGTTGTGTCACAAAAACAACAGTATTGAACATTGCAGCAAAGCTTCATAACGCAGAGCGGCATTTCTTAAACTACAGCAGGCTCAGCACATGACTACCATGACTAGGGTTGCCACCTTTTCTTCAAGCCAAACCCGAACACTGTAGCACCTCGCGGCAATTTTTTTGTAAAGTATACACGACGCATATATTTGGAGTTAATCACAACTTGCCAGTGTGCCATAGGTCCCCAGATATATACTATATAAAGCAATATCCATATACTTTGCCGCACTCATTACCCGATATCCCCAAAGTAACGGGTGCTCGTAATGACTGCGGATGGCGCCGCTCATAACAGAACTCCAATACAGATGTCACGAGCACCACGATTCCCTCCCGGGCACAGGATTCCAAAACCGGACTGTCCGGGTCATTCCCGTACGGGTGGCAACCCTAACCATGACCATTGATGGAAGAGGGGATTTGGGGTGCAAATGTGAGCAGTGGTGGAACAGGGGAACAGAAAGTGCAAAAGTGAGCAGGGGTGGAGGAGAGAAGGGGTTCCAGAGGTGAGCTGTGGTGGAGGGGAGCAGGGGGAGCAGAAGTAAGCACTGAGGAAGGAGAGCAGGGGTTGCAGAGGTGAAACAGGGGTGCAAAGGTGAGCAGTGGTGGAAAAGTGATGCAGTTGGTGCAGAAGTGTGTAGTGGTGGAATAGGGGTGCATGGAGTGCAGAGTCGAGCAGTGGTGGAAGAGGGGAGCAGGGAGTAAGAAAGTGAGCAGTGGTGGAGGGGAGCAGGGGGTGCAGAGGTGAGCAGTGGTGGAACAGGGGTTCAGAGATGAGTAGTCGTGGAAAAGGAATGCAGGGGGTGCAGTAATGAGCAGTGGTGGGAGAGGGGAGCAGTGAGTGCAGTGATGAGCAGTGGTGGGAGAGGGGAGCAGGGAGTGCGGAAGTGAATAGTGGTGGAAGAGGGGAGCAGGGGGTACAGGGATGAGCAGTGGTGGAAGAAGGGAGCAGGGAGTGTAGATGTGAAGATTGATGGAACAGGGGTGCAAAAGTGATCACAGGTGGAAGAGTGGTGCAGGGTTCTTAGATCCCAGTATGCTCACAATTTTCTTTTTTGGGCTTTCAAATTAAAACATTTAAGGACCCCTAATGTAGATAGCCTTAGTGTGGCTGCAGATTTTTGGAAGTATAAAATGCAACAGCCAGGTAGACAACAGATACCAAACTCCCATAGAGAGGATGATCCAAGCCACTTCAATGAACACTGAGAGCCACGTAACGCTTATGTAAGCATGGTTTATGAACACTAATTAGATAAAATTTTCACACATTTTACCAGCAAATCAGACATATCCTGCATAGTCTTATCTGCAGATGAACACTAATTCCCAATTCAGGTCTGCAGGTTTAAGCGCAAAACCGTAAATTTGGTCATTAGCCTTGAGGTCACAGAAAAAGCTAAATTCCTCAGCGTAACAAATATAGAAGCCATTCTGTGAAGTATATAAATGGAAATAAAATCACTTAATGGCCTGGTTGCAAATACCATCAGCAGCAAATAACTGCTTTTTCTTTTGACTCTTAAAATATTCTGTAAGATAATAAGAGAGATTATAAAACATGTAATTCTCTGATATTATAGAGGTCTAGAGAAATGTCAGTAGCTGTTTATTACATTGGGCTTTAGTGCAGGGAGTTGGATACAGGTAGGGTTTGGGACTAGGGTTTGGTGCCCTATAATGTAAGTCTAGCAGTTTGGGTGTAGGGTTGAAGTAGGTTTAGGGTTATAACTCCTGTCAGCATTGTATTGCCATCTGAAGATTTCCCTTCACTTCCTATCTGATATCCACATCAACGGGTGGGTGTAAATCCCTCCAAAATATGGGAAATCCCCAGTGGTCATAAGGTTCACCAGAACTAGTGTCCCCATTGGAAGATTTCCCATCAATTCCTGTTCTGTTAACAACCCAAAATTTGGGATTTTCTTTAATTTTCAGTGGTAACAATCACCAGGACAAATAGAGAGGGTTAAGACACAGACAGCAATAAAAACCTGACAGGTGTTGTAATACCTATCAAAAACATGTTCTCCTGGGACCCCATACAGACTGGACCAGGGATGATGGAGAGTCACTGATAAGGATTCTTGTTAAAATCAACCAGAGAACATTCTAGTTAATTATTTGTGAATTTGATTTCTGAAATTGAGGTTTGGGTTGGAATCTGGATATCAATTGGATGAATGTAACCTTTATCTAGGATACACGACAGGCCAAGAGGGAGTGTTGGGGCTCCTTTTATATGCCTCTTTTATGCACCAAAATTAGGGTCCACATTCAGGGCATCTGCTGGTCTGCTTTTATTTAAAAAAAAAGGTTTTTAAATTTTGGAAATACATTTTTTAATACATTTTTAAATTTAATGTAATTTGTTATAAAAAAAATGTTTTTACATTTTTGATTTATTTAAATGAAAAATATAAAAAAACCCAGTCTGTTGGATCTGGATGTTATTATTCCTGCTCCTTTGGCAGAACGTTTTTAAGGATTTTACTCAAACCTGTTAACGGTTCCCAAACCCAAAAGAAGACTCGGTCCGATTCTGGATTGAAAGCACTCAATGTGTTTGTACATACAGACAGTCTCCGGGTTCCGAACAAAATAGGTTCTGTAGGTTTGTTCTTAAGTTGAATTTGTATGCAAGTTGGAACAGGTACATTTTTTAAGTGTAACTCCGGCCCAATTTTGTTTTCTAATTTTGGATAGCATACGGAAAGGTTTACGCCGTGTAAAGTTTGTTTTGTTGTGTGTGCTCCTGTTCAGAAGATATCACCTCACTTTCTGTCCCTGTGACAATTGGATTTTGAAAATTTTGGGTTGTCGTGGAAACAAGGATTGGTGATTAAGCTTTAGCGGAGACATCCTTTTCCTATGATAACTCTTACAGGAGTGAATTTCACTTCCTAGTTGTAGATTTGCTCTCACTACCTGTTGTCTCAAGGACAGGAAGTGAGATTAAATCTTTCTAATGAGGATACAGACAGCAGTAAAAACCTCACAGTGACCCGGAAGAGGCAGGCACCCCTTGCCTGAACGTCCAACAAGAGCCAACGTCCTGTAATGCACGTACAGTACTACGAACCAGACCCAAAAAGGCGAGCACTCCTCGTCAGCACGAGCGAGGTAGCATTACAAGTAACCCTGCTGTACAGTAATAGCCTCTGTTTGTAAGTAGGAGTCGTAACCCGGGGACTGCCTGTATTCACAAATTCCATATGGAATCCATTTGGCCGGTTGTCGACTCTCTTAGACAAGGAATATGTTTGATTTTCATAGACATAAAGATGTGTATCTATACTATCCTGTATTTCCAGCTCATCAGCGTTTCCTTGGATTTGCGATACTTTCATCTTTCATCATCAACTTTCATTATCAATTTGTGGCTTTTCCCTTCGCGTTGGCTTCGGCTCTAAGGGTTTTTACACTGCCAGATGGTCCGATGCTCTCATTATTATGCTTTTATTAATAATTGTGTTTTGTCTTACAGGTGAAATCTCTCCAGGGGATCCAAGAAAAAGGTGCCACCAAGATAAGTGTAAGTATCACCCATCTACCCACTGTAACACAGGGTGATAATATTAAACATCTGTCACAAGCCTGAGCAATCAAAACTTAGTATATAATGAACCCTAAAAAGGATAAGCAGAGGTTATCTTCAATAAAAAAAAGTCAAAATGATTAGTGGATCTGAAGATACAGGCTGCTGAAGTTACATGGAAATCAACAATTTTCCTGCAAAAGCTGAGCTTGGCACCACCACTATCTAACATCTGTGCCTCCCTGTTGGTCCGTTAGGAGTGATGGATGGTTTCACTAACCAATAACGAGGGTTGGGGGTGGGGCCAAGCTCAACTCTTGCTGGGCCAGTGGAGAATTTCCTTTAACTTCGGCTGCTTAGATTTCTACCATATACAGTATATAATAATCATTTTGAAAGATTGTTATAATGGAATATAAGGTCTGCTGATACGATTTGTCCTAAGTTGGAATTGCTCATTGATATTTAATTTTTCCCAGTAGGAATGAGCTTAGCTTTGGACTGGTCCAAACCTAAGCCCCTCTGAACAAGGAAGTGCCATGGACCATCCACCCAATCAGCTGTGGGCTGGGGCATTCCCCACCCCTCAGCTGCACATAAACACCCCCTGGCTTGACACATTCAATGGTGATTGGATTAAGGTGACAGAGTTACCCATGAGGTATGTTCCTCACCCTTATCAGAGCTGAGGAAGCTATTTGGAGTGGTGAAATGTCACCTACAACAAATTCTGTTGACTGTGACTTACTACTACCAGTTATACTACAGTATAACCTGAATAAATCCAAACCTTCTCAGATGCCCTTCAGATGTCCACTTCCTACGTTCATTATTATGAGGTTACATCTCACCCTTTCTACTGCATTCTATGTTGCCTTACCTGTGATCCTCCTAGTACAATGCACCAACAGCTGGCATTTTGCCCTTAAGCATCTTGACAATCACTGGGCTCCGTGATGGCGAACGGAACATTAATCTGATTTACACTCTTCTCTTTCCGGACTGAGCAAACTTTACATTTCACAGAATGGCAAATACCAGGAGAAGATCAATTTGGAAGGAAAGCTAATTAGCCGCAGAGGTTTTTCTATTGATCTTGCGCTGTGGGCGAGAGGGAGCTGCATTTGGCAGCAATAGGAAAGAGAGTTCAACACAGACGCTGTCCCGTTGGGGGAATATGTAAATTCATTACGAATGGTGCCATTTGAAGAGGAATATAAAATGGAGATTAAAAACAAACAAAGCCGGTAGACCTGAAAGATACTTTTTTTTATTTAGCATTTGCTGCTAGTGTGCTACAGATGCGCTTTTGATCTGATGGAACTCGATGGTGACATTGGGCCAAAATGGATGCATGAAAACTGGGTTGCCTGTAGTAACCATTCAGAACCCAACTGCCATTTAAAAAAAAAAAGAGATGATTCCCTCTTTCTACAATTATTTGGAAATTAAGAAACATGCTGGCATTGAGGTAGTTAGGGTGCACCTGGCCTTTAAAAGTCACCCACTGAATCCAAGTAGTAGCAATAAAATGTCCACCTCCCCCAAATCATTGGTGGTCACTGGCACTTGAAACCTCCACCTTGAATCTGCTGCTGCTGATCCCTTTCTTCCTTCAATTTTTACTTCCTCCCCGCCCCCATTGTGAGAGGAAGGGGAGGGCTGAATGTGTGTAAACACAGTCAGGGTTTACACTTGTGACCTCTGTGATTGGTTTACAGCGATCGTAAGGTACAGTGCCACTCTGATTGGCTCTGGACATTTTGCCTGTGATCTGCCATGTCTAATGACAGCTTAATCACAGGCATTCAGTATGCACAATGGGCGCCTGCGCATGTTTTTAACAGCCACCTGTCCACCGTAAGGTGTTAATAAACTTAAAGAGACCCTGTCTTCATCCTATTAATATTAGCATCCACTTTCTATAGGATTATTTGTCAATTTACACTGTTTTGTGCATTTAATCTCCCTGTAATTATGGATAAAATTATGATAGTGAACAGGCCTGGGACTGTTGCTGGGCGCTGCCATCTTGGCCGTGCCATCAGGATCCCCAGAGTTGTCACTTAGATGATGCTTTGTAGTGTTCACCATTACTTATTTATATTTGAGGATCACTGAACAGCCACTCATTGATCTGATTACAGGGCAGAGAGGCTGATAGTAGGAGCTCACACACAGCAGAGCATGGAATATTGCTAGCATTAACACCTCCTCCACTTTTCATATATTACAAACCCTGCTTTGTTTACTATGACTCTGCTACAACTGGTACTTCTGTTTAATTACATTATGGGTGTGCAGATAATAAATCATTGGTCTTGTTTGGAATCCTAACATTTGCTAACAAGCAGCTTTGTTATCTGCCTATATAGCAGAATGAAGAGAGGGTAGGAGCAGGGGTAAGGACAGACTGGAATTGACACTTTTAGGACGTGGTTAGCTTCCTACTAAAGTTACTCGGGTCACAACATGGGAAAAATCAATGGTGGGGAAACATGCAAGTGCTCATTATCCCTTACTGATGCAAGATTTTCATTTAAAAAGTAAGGTCTGGTGACAGGGTCTCTTTAAAGCTATTCTGTTGCTAGAATAAAAAGTGCTTCCTCCAACGAAGAGAGTTCATATCTGCTCTGCTGTTCTGCACTGCATCTTCAGCATCTTACACTTCCAGTAGTGTCAGTTGCATGGGTTCCCTCCAAACCCCCCTCCCCGTCCTATTACTGCCTTATTATACACTGGCCAAATTCCATTTCCGCCACTAGATGTATCTAAGGAGCAGAGGAAATTCATATGCTCATCAGCTTTATCTAGTGGCAGGAATGCCATGCGAATGGTGTTCGACCAGCGTATGGCTGAGCGATCGTTTTTTAGATCATCCCCTGCATCACTGTAGGACACAGAAGTGAAGTAGGGTCAGCAGCAGAAACCACCGAGCGTAGACTGGAAGGGAAATCTCTGGAAAAAAAGTGATTTAGCCATACTATAGACTTCTCTTAAATACATAAATAACTCTCTATTTTCTGCATAGGTGGTGAAGGTATTCGGCAGTAACATATCACACAAGCTACGCCTATCTAATGTCAAGATCTCAGATGAAGGGACCTACGAGTGTCGTGTGTTAGATTACAGCGATGGGAAGGGGCGGCAGCATCGGGTCAAGGCCTTCCTCCACGTGGAGCTGGAAGCAGGCCGCCGCGGTGCGGCCTCACACCGCCAACAGGATACCAGCACTCACCGTCACTTTCAAGTCAAAGAGCTCAAAAAGCGAACGGCGGTGCCTTGTGAGGAATGCCAGGTCTAGACTGTGGGACCACTCGGCCCCAACACTGATGTACAGAGAAGTGCATGAGAAGCTTCCTACCCTTCTCAATCTGAAAATTGTTGTCAGCTGTCTCTGGCTGGAGTAGTGAGTGGAGATCAGTGACTTTAAATACAAAAACCCCATCATGTAAAAACGTAACCCTTTTCTTAGTGACGGGCGATTAAGATGCCCTGACAGACTGTTATCCATATGGACTAAGATTGGGGCTTCCTCTATCACCAGCCACCCATTGCAACCAATGCACCCTTCACCATGTACATGTCATCTCTCAGACGAGTTGCTGCATTCATCCCAGCCAACAGCATTACGGGAAATAAAGAATTTCCAAGACGCCTTTGCAGCTATGGCATCACCGCTCATATGAACTAGGTGAAAAGAAAAGCTTTATTATGAAGGTGTTGTCCTTGATAGGCTGCTTTTCAGTGTTATCTTTTACCAGATCCACCAACATCCTGTGATGGTCAAAGTATTAATATCTAATTGAGTCTGTTTCTGTTCGCTTATTTACCCGAAACGTGTAGCTTCATAGATTGTACCAGTGCTCTTATTCCCAACATCGGTGTTGCACAATTATCTGGACTTCAGTTTTTGCCTTTTCATCAAAGGATACAAAGCACTGCCAAACTGTCATTGCTTGGTCATAAGTTGGCCACAATCCACACTTATGTACATAGACACAGCTAAAAAAAAAAAAGCATCAAAACTACTTTCTCCCTTTCTTAAATGTCAGGTTACCAATCCAAAAAACAGAATTTCAGAAGGTCTTCTGTACAAAAGGAGTCATGTTAGAAGAGCTTGTGCTGGCTTCATGAATGTTGTATGACCAAAATGGGAATTGACTTGATCGGCAGCATGAAGAGCAATGGGTAAAGTGTAGTAAGCTGATGCAACTAATGAGAGTTTAGGTCTGCCGGTCTTCTTTGAGGCTGCTCTTACCTAAATGACCCCTTTGTCCTGGAACTGGGTTGCTGCTTCATTTCCTGTGTTAACTGGGGAGAAGGACCTAATCTGAGTAGGCAGAGACTGCTGGCTACTCAGAGAGGCCCACCAGGACAGAGGCTAGTAATTGGGTATGTGTAGGTGGAGCATTTTTGCAATGGCAGCCCAATTTGGACCAGAGGACCTAAAGTCTGGTTTTGACAGTGGGCCCACTTTGAGACATTAATACTGTTTGGATGATTTAGGTTGCTGTGCTTTCATTTATACCTTTACTGAGCCAGAATAAAGAGATAATGTATTAATAATTCTATTAATTACCACAAGAATAATTGACTTGTGAGTTGTTCCTTAAAGGGAACCTGAAAGCTTATAATATGTGGCAGGTTCCAGGTGTGTCACCCTGCCCATGGCTTTACTATGCGAGTCACTGACCTGTTCCAAATCAGAATCGGGATAGAAGCAGAAAATGCTTGTTTCGTGGCTGTAATGCTTGCCCTCTAGCTTCACTACTTTCTGACTCACAAGTGTGCAGATCAGGTAAGTCATGGGAAAGTTGTAATTCCTTGTTCCAGGTCAGTGACTCAAAGTACAGAAGCCAAAGTCAGCAGTTTTTAGAAAGAGAATATTAAAGGCAGCCTCCATATTTCTTTACTAGATATGGGTCTATGGTGACCATTCGAATTCCAGCAGATGGTTTTCTAGTGTAAGTAAGAGAATGAAATATAACCCCCGATTGGTCGTGATTAATCGTATTTTTGGCACCATATATAGCTTCAGTATTTCAACCAGAGTGTCCTAATATATTCACACAACAGCAGAATCCGTGACTATGGGTCTGACAGCCAGAAGATACTAGAAAGGTCTTTAGCAGGCAAAGTGCTTATGATCAAGAAGATGACAGATGCTTGGAAGTTTGCATGAAGAATAAAATAATGGATTTATGATGAATCCAGAGATGCAAGTTTATCTGCCTTTTTGTCAAATATTATAACTTAAGTGATATGCTGCCCAGATGCCATTAGCTGTGTAAATGTTGCTGTAACAGACACTATGGAGTTGACTTGACGTGTGTATGCATCAACCTCTGCTGCAATACCTGTGTGGAGGTTCCAGTCTACGTACACGCTAAACCCACCTACAGAGACCTGTCTAGATGTGACCATGAGACAATTCTGTGTCGAGGGGGTGGCCATGTTCTCTGCTCATGAGATGCCAGCAATGCCTCTATGGATGTAAATAAAGCTGAATCATTTGCCCAAAATCAGCGGCTTGATTGATTTGTTTTACCATAAGAACGTCAGTAGTGTGCTTGTTCAGGAGATTGATAGCAACTGCAAGGCTGATTTATTATATTTTATTCCAAAAGTGCTTTAAATATTTAAAAATACAGTTCTTGAATATAGGGCATTATTACAAAATGACTACAGCAAAGCAGGGGATGGAGATGGCACAGTTCTCCAAGAACAGAGGTAAGATAGCAGTATTAAAGGGTACTTTAGGCTTGTGTCGATTGACATTTGCTCAGATCAGATGGGTTTTGCATTCCCATACATTCTATGTGAAATCAAAACCTACTTGAAGCAGGTTCAATGCAGTCAGAAGGTTAACTGCTGGTCAGATGCACTCAGGAATCATCTCAGACTGATTATAAACCAATGGCATTGACACAGGCCCTTATGATGCTAATACGGTTTCAGAGAGCAAGCTTGTCTCCTTCACTATGGAAAGGCTACCAGTTTATACATCACAAATCAGGTCCACCAAAAATAGCTTTGGAGTACACAAACTAATGTCTCCAACCAGGTTTTTACCAGGAAACCAATGAGTCCTTCTGAGCTTTAACCCCCTTTAAGTCATAACTACTTTCAGCTGCTTTAGGTTCTCCATATATTCCTGAGGAGATTCCAGCACCAAGTCAATGACAGCCCAGCAGCAAATCATTTTGTCTTTTATGATTGAGGAAAGAGGGAATATATTTTCCAGCTCGAGACAAAGACACGGTGAACAAGTGGCAGGTGATTTGTCAAGGAATCTTCCCCAAACAGAATAGCATGGATGGATTGACTTACAAAAATCCAAGCAGCTGCACCCTGTAATGGAAGAGGCTGAATACTTACCTCTCTGGCAGGTTCTGAGTGAAATCTACACTCTCTTCCAGACCTAGCAGTAACACTACCTTCTAACACCTCTGGTGTGCCCTCCACTAGACACCTTTTTTCCTCCAGTTGGCCACTAAAGCTGGGTATACATGGTTAGAATTTCACTTGGAAAAAAAGATATTTGAAATGTTAAATTTTCTGCTAGTTAATGGGGTCAAATGGACCATCATTTTTGACCATAATGACGAAAAAGTGGAGCAGGATGGCAAATTCTTCTTCAAGGAAGAATTTCTAACAGTGGATGTGGTTTTCATTCAAGAAATGCCATTGATTCCAAACACGAATGTTGAATTTAGCGATGCGCCGATATCATTTTTTCGGTTTTGAGTACGAGTACCCGGTTTCCTGATTGGTCAGCTCCATGCTCCCTGGTGTCGAGGGAGCATGGAGCCAGTCTCCCGGCCAATCAGGAAGCCAGGCAGTGTGTAATGACTCGCTGCCCAGCTTCCTGATACCTGGAAGTTCTGGTATCGGCAGCATTTGGGCGAGTACTCGTACTCGCCCAAATTCTCAGTATCGGTATCAGTGCAGCCCTATTTGTAATCAAATGACATTTCAAATGACAGTCAAGTTTCTAAAGGCAATATCTAATGTTCCGACGAGATTTTTGGAATGAATGTGGCTACAAAAATATGCCGGTGTATGGCCAGCTTAATTCTTGTTGTGATGTAGCAGCCAGTGGGAGGAACCATGGATTCCAGTGAGGGAAACGTTCTCAGACACACCTCAAAGTGTCTGATAGCTTAGAATGAGCGTGAAGATTTAACTTGCTATCAGAGGATGTATTTCGCCTCTTCTATTACAAGGTGCTGCTGTATATATTTCAGAGAAATCACTAAACCTTTCATGAAAGCAATAAAGGGCTACCATTGATGGCTCCAGAAAGTGGTAGTTTCTTGATACTTCTGAGTCACAGCTTAAGACAAGTATGCTAAATGAAAGTTGGAGACATGTCAGAATACCTTCTTTCTATACTTGGTTCAGTAACTCAGAAAGCACCCCTACTGTGCTTTACATCCTTACCCTAGAGCGGATAGTTCAAAGCCTCCAAGAAAGCTGCTTAGAAGCTGGAAGAAACTACTGGAATATTGTAAGAGCTTGCTGTACACACTGGTCTTCAGACTGACATGTATAAGCTGAAGTCTGTGCAGACAAGCTTTACTTCTCTCAGAAAGAATGCATGACAATTGCTGCATGTATTTTTTTTTTTTTTACATTCTAAAATGTATGTTCTATGTGGCCAAAAGAATAGTAGGTAACGGAGCAAAATTGTGTGTTTCATTGTTAGTGCGACCTAAGGCAGTGATCTTCCTGGCATCCTTAGTTTGGGTATGGTTATACCAACTAGGGATGCACCGATACCGTGTCTCCGGTCTCGAGTACCGATATTTTGCATTTGGTACTCACCGATACCGAGTACCGATACCAGTGTTTCCGTTGGCATGGAGCCAGCTTCCCAGGCAATCAGAAAGCTGGGCGGCGGGTAATAACATGACATTTTGTTTATCCGGCTCGATTGCGATTGGCTGGGAAACTGGTTTCCCAGCCAATCAGCATTTAGCCGGCTTCTGGGCCAATCAGGAAGCTGGGTGACAAATGACCCGCCTCCCTGATGGGCCTGGAAGCTGGCTCCATGCTGATTTGCTTGAAAGCCTGCTTCAGCAAATCATCAAGAAGCCAGCTGTTCGGCCACCTCGATGCGGATTGCCCACGAAGCTGGCTTCCCAGCCTATCAGCATGGAGCCAGCTTCCTGGCCAATCAGGGAGGCGGGTCATTACTCACCACCCGGCTTCCCGATTGTCCGGGAAGCTGGCTCCATGTTCCTCTACGGCACTACTGGTCAGAGGAAATCTTCCTCTGGCCAGAAGTTGCGGTATCGAAGCATTAGTACTCTCCCAAATACTCGGTATCGGCACTTATACTAGTATCGGTATATCCCTAATGCCCACCATAATAAAACCAGGGTGTACTTGTGTCACTGTAGAAAAACCTGCCCACAAATCCCAGAATAAA